ACTGTAGAACTTCGCAAAGATAAGCAATCAAGTCAAGTAGCTCACGGATTTTTTTAATCCCTGCGAACACCATCTTTGTACCTGGTATATATTTTTTGGGATTTTGCAGGAATTGGTACAACTTACGTACACTCCATGTAATGCCTTTATTTTTCATCGCGCTGGTGTACGAAAAACCAGAACTTCCACCAGAATTTCGGCCAAAAAGTCCATACAAATTTGGGCCACTCTTATGCTTTCCACCATTAAGGACACTGTGACATTGTGCCCCTTTTTKCATGAAGACCTTTTTACCCTTATTSGCATCTCCGCCGAGACTTACAACATCAGCACAGGAGGTAGGTATAATTTTGGTATCATAAAACATAACATCAGTTATAAACTTATTAAAAGCTCCAGCTCCTGATCTTTTCTTATAATGTTTCTTCCAATACATTGCTTGTTCTGGCAATCTCGCAGGGATTTTTGAGGGATTGTTCTTGTARTAAAGCCTTGCTGCGATAGCAGAGTRCAGTGGTTTGCGCAAGTCCACATAGTTAACCTTTCCCCAGTTGATTCCAAACTTGGCTTTAATCTTCTGATGCTCTGCCTTCAACCCAGGGTGCCTCTTTACATCTTGGGTGCTACGAAAAGCATTGGAATCAACTTGCCATATTCCTCCGTGATAGCCACTTCGAATTCTTCTTGGGTCTCTTCCATTCTTTGATTCAACTATCGCTGTACGCTCAAGCAGTTTATTAGTAGACCCCAAAGTCGACTCCACAAGAGCAATTGCTTTCTTGGTTACACCGTCGCCTCTTTTTCCGGGTGTTAACACTGCTTGGTCCCAACTCTGACCATGAACCATGGACAGGCCCAAGAACACAAACGCCAACAATTGGAAAATGGTGAGCACAGCAAAAGTCATAATGCGAATTTCTGAGTGTTTAAGAACTGCTCCCAGGTTACGAAAGAATGAACAAACGAGGCATCTATTACGCACGTCTAGCTCCATTCTGTTTTTCTGTCCATCACTGGTGTTGACAATGAACTACTTCGTATCTTCTCAGTGATAGGGTATCTATGTAAGTGGTTAATAATGTTTGTAGGTCAGGCTGACATATTTCTCTTTCACAAACAAACTCTGGATGAGAATTCAAAGGATAATTTAGAGAATACGTCATCCATGTTTGAAATAGGATACATCTAATAGACAATACGTAGTCTGGTTCCAAAAAGGTTACAACATGAAAGCCGAAAGGAATAGGAAAGCAGATATTGTGTGTAACACTATCAGAACCAAAAGTTTGACTAGTAAAGTGACCTTCTCTTCGAGCAATGCTATTATTCAACATGTTTAGGAATTTTAATGGTTTTTGAAATTGATCTGATCCTGAATACCCTTCGAGTTTGATAATACGTTAATTCAAGTAGATGTTTAAAGGAAAAGTGCCACAAGAGGAGAATAGAGCACGGCGATGATCAAATCCTTATTCAGAAAATCAAAAACAAATACCAACAGTAAAAAGTAAGACTTTATTTGGTAAATGTGCAYTGGGTCTTGTATGAAACTCATATATCATTAACATTTTCTTACAAACCTTTTACAAAGACAATCCGACACACATGAATTCAACTTGAATTTCAACAAAACTATAGTGGATGCTATGAGCTTAAATAGTACAAAGATAAGCAACCAAGTCTAGCAGTTCCTGGTGTTTCCTTAATCCTGCGAACACCATCTTTGTGCCTGGGATAAACCGCTTTGGATTTTTCAGGAATTGGTATAAAGTGCTTGCRTCCCACGTAATTCCACTGTTTTTCAACGCATCGGTGGATGAGTAACCGGGAGCAGTGCCGGCTTYTCGGCCGACAATTCCARCCAAGTTCGGCCCTTGCTTATGATTCAAACTAGTTGAATGACACTGAGCACCTTTTTGAACGAATATTTTCTTGCCTTTCTGTGCATTTCCAATACCTGCAAAATCAGCACTGGACACCCCGGAACCATGGGTCAAGACATCCTTTACAAATTTTGTAGCAGTACCAGCTCCTTGCACTGTGTTGTAACGGTTTTTCCACAGCTTTGCTTGTCCTAGTAATGTATTAGGGATCTTTGTWGGACTGTTCAAGTAGTGAAGTCTTGCAGCGAGAACAGAGTAGAGAGGCTTTTCTAAGTCCTTCCACGTGACCTTTGCCCAGTCGATTCCAAACTTCTTCGAAATTTCCCWATGCGCTTTTGGTAAATTRCSATGGCTTTTCACATCTTGGGTATCTAGAAAGCCAAYGTAATCCACCTGCATTATTCCTCCGTGATAACCGCTTCTGAAWGTTCTTGRATCTGTGCCGAACTTTGATTCGACCAGCGCAGTACGCTCCAGTATCTTATGGTCATCAGGGAATATGCCATTATTTAGCCGAGACTTTAATTCAGCAATTGTTTTCAAGGTTACACTTTTACCGCTGTTTCTTGCTAGTAACAGCGCTGGATCTACTGGTTTTGGTTTGGTAGTTTGACCATTAACATTGCATTGGTTCAAGGCAACAACAAAAAACCACTGGGCAACAATAAGAACACCAAAAGCCATGATGAGAGATTGAGTGCCGCATGTACTACTGCTCCTAGTTCCAAAAGAATGAGCAAACTAGAGCCTATATTCATTTTTTGTTGACCTACCGTCAGCTACATCATGGTGYAATATTTGTTTGGTTCACAATGATGTTGCTCCCGACCACTTCGAATAAAATTGCAGAAAGAAAATTGACAACTCGTCAAGYAAAGAGTTTGTTTGATAAAATGACCAATGTTTCATCAAAGTGGGGCATTTGTGTGCTGGCTCAAGTGTACTTCATCTGCATGCCTATAACGTTAATTCATTCTTATTTGGGTTTCAATTCTCAATGGCAAAGATTAAAACAATTTGCACTACTAATATCAAACGTTTGCTTRGGKGAAAKTTCTTTTTTCAATTCGTTTGTCATGTTTCAATCTTTTCGGGAAGACAAAATTGGAAACGACTTTTAAAATGTGACATTTATTCTACAGTGTTWACATTTATTATTCGATGATTTTTATGCATGCAATTATTTTTCTTTCTTTTTTTGTWCGACATGCCGTCGTGCAATACATACTTTTGCTTGCATTCTTGTATGCACGTGCATGACTGGAGACGTGCATGGCAGCTGCATATTTTTTTAGMTAAAAATACCATATCCGTCACAACCGTAGTATAATAAACCCTCCATGMAACAGAATAACTCTTATATATGACTTTTTGCATTACAATGATCCTTAAAATTTCTGCAATCAATTCTATGATAAATTATAATCCTGTTCCAAYATGGCCGCCATTACTTGACGACTACATCGTGCTTTCAGTATATAAAATACCGAGCTAAACGATTTATCATAATGTATGCATCCGATCTTGAAAAGGTTRTGCGAAAATATGAAGGTTTTAGTCCACAGTTCTGAATAAAGGCAAATTCAGAACAAATAGTCCAAATTTTAGTAGCTATTATAGCCATATTAAGCAGAATCGAACCATTGGAATCCGAGACCAAGACCATGACCSCTCGGCCACGCTATCTTCGCTTCTTTTATCTTAGCCCAGCAATGTATCGCAGTTCCTYTGACTGCAGCACGTAATTCTCCATTCTTCATRCACATCAATAAAGGGTCAAAGAAAGAGCTGAGAAACATGCAGGRAATACTKAYGGTCAACAACTGTAAACTCGCCACGGAAACACCTCGAATACCAAAAACAACTAGACTACACAGAAAAGGCGTAAAGAATATAAACTGACAACCCATGACATACAAAAGGTTCAAAACAGACCTTCTATAGCGTGCCATATTAGTATGATGAGTTACAGCAGTGGTATTGACTGCTTGGCTTGCAATCTGATTATGATGACGGCGAATGATAGTGAAGATTTTATAATAGCAAAATCCGATGATTGTCAAAGAAACAACAATAAGTGCTGCCACGAAAATTCTGTAGACATATGCGCCTATTAGAATAGAAGTAGATTGTAACGGAGACGTTATCCATGTGAAAGCGCATAGCTTTATCATCCTCGCGTTCGTTACTATCGATCGGTAACGAAGGTGCAGCACCAACGCGAGATATCGATCCACGGTGGCGAAGAGCAGATTCATTAAAATACAACCGATGAAATTGCTGCTGACTATGCTGCTTGTTATAGTCAAGGTGCATATTACATTATTGTCGTGGTGGTACAGTTCTAACAGCTTCCACGCCACTGCAAAAGGAATAGCARYCAARGCAAGCACCAAGTTGGCTGCTGTAAGATTACAAGTCAAGATATTGGAAGGGTTGTGAAGATTTGGTGTGCGAACGATGGCCGTCAGAATCAACGCGTTAAGAACAAATGTTGGTAATACAGAAAGGCAAAGAATCACTATGAAGACAACTGTGAAAGGGTAAACATCATGTGCAAGGGAATACCAATCTGTAAACTCCCGACAGTTGTARCTAGACATTATCGTGAATRATTCTACAACAGAATATCTTTCCGAGTTGAGATTTTTTTAACAAGTATTGATCGTTTAGCATCTGTTTAAGCTTAATGTGTACTCACAGTGGTTGGTCAGGTCGAATTCATTACAAAAGAAAAAACAATATCTCATTTTCAACTGGAAATCCGTAAAATTGATTTCTAAATGAGAGCAAAGATAGATAGACTTCCACCTGTTTGGGATCTTAATATTTAACTTGAAAAAAAAAAAAAAAAACAACAACAACAACAACAAAAAACAACAACAACAATAACAAACAAACAGATATCTTGAATTTAATTCATTTAATTCTTGTATAAAATGTTTCATACGTATCCTTATGAAATAAAATATTTTCTTCCACCATTTAACTTCCATTTTGGTTCCTTTCACTTAAAAAAATCCTCACAAGATATACTGAACAATTTGGTTTAAACACATAGGAAAGACCTGTGCCGTCGCGGTTAACTTCTCTACAATTCTCAATATCGAAATACAAGAAAAAGGCACAAGAACATCTTGTAATATTGTTATGAGTGACATTTATTCTCAATATCAACTCAACAAGAAAAAAAGGAATCGTCATAGCCACCTGTTATCTTGCCCAAAGAGTGAAAATAACGTCTAATTAAAGTTCAGTGATTAGTTTTTACAAAAGGCAAAGACGCTAACAGCCTAGTGAAAATCCTCCAAAGCTAAAATAACCTTACGAGAACGTTATGAATAAATGTGAAGTTGAAACTTAGTCAGGGCAGAATCATGTTGGTTCTGGGAAAGAAAAATCTTAAGCTTGATCGACCGCTGTTTTATGTGCGWAGTCTTATAAGATTGATAATGCCCGCTTGCCTCATTAGCCGAASATATTGCCAATGAGAAATATCGCGTCATAATATATGGAAAAACATTGTGCGCTGATCGACCACGCTGCATGAACCCGCATACGAAAACCTTTTCTTGAGCACTGAAGAACTTGGAAAGATTTCTTGTTATTTCGTCGACCAAAAATACCCGCAAATGTCGAGTGAGAAACTTTGTAAAATATTTTTAGAATGGTATACATTTAAAGAAGATACTTATCCATATAATTTAGCAATGGCGGCAGTTATGTGTCTTCTAGTTTTACCGGTAGCTGCACTAAACGCCTTGATTCTGATGGCCATCGTTCGCACACCAACTCTTCATACACCTTCAAACATCTTAACCTGCAATCTTGCAGCGGCAAACTTGGGAATGGCAGTTATAGTTTTCCCTACCGGAGTGGCGTGGAAGTTGTTGGAGGTGTACAGTCAAAACTATGGTTTGATCTGCAATGTAACATTTGTCAGTGCTTCACTCTGCGTCACATTTAATGGTGGAAGTTTATTAACGTTGTTGTTCTCAACTCTGGATCGATATCTTGCGTTAGTTCTTCATCTACGCTATCCATTGCTTGTCACCAATGGAAGAGTTATCATCACGTGCGTTCTATACTGGTCCGTTTCTTCAATACAGATTTTTCTTTTCACGATCGGAGGGAATTATTATTAYATTATGGCATCGATATCTATGACGCTTATGCTCGCCTTGATTACGTTTTGCTACTCTCAAATTTTCATCATCATTCGCCGCCATCATCATCAGATTGCAAGCCAAGCGGTCAATACCACCGCAGTTTTCCCAAACACGACACGCTTTATTCGAAAGTCTGTTTTTAACCTTTTGTACGTTGTKTGTTGTCAGATTGCTTTTTTAACACCTTTCTTGGCGAGTATGATTGTTCTTGGTTCTCGTGGGGTTTCGGTGTCTAGTATCAAACTCTGGGTCGTTAGCACCTGCATTATATTTCTCAATTGCTTTGTTAAYCCTTTAATAATTTGTATGAAGTACGGAGAACTGCGAGCTGCAATAAAAGACACCGCGTGGGCCTGTTGGAGATGAATTTAAAGCAATCTGAGAACTAGGAGCGAACTACTTCACTTTTCTGCCGTGGATATACTTGAAGAAACYCTCAAGGTCTTCTCGCTTGTACGGTAATAGTGACAACGGAAAGATGCCCTCGACCTAACCGCTGACATCTCTCGCTCACTYAYGAATAACATTACGGACGATTGCTTTCTAATCTAATTTTATTCCGGGTTTCAGTCAACTTTATCAGCTATTTATTGCTGTTTCAGAATAGCTAGCAATACATCAAACCTGCTTTTTCAACTCAACAGAGATGACACATTGATGTTTGATTGCCGAGTCTTGAATAGGTTGGGAAACGTTTCCGGAAAAAAATATCACATTATTTTGATTTTTGGTTTTCGACATAATCACTTGTATATTTATACTAAAAACAATATTCGCTCAGGCTTTTTAGTGATTATTCGCCGATAAATAATTAACAATTTGCGCTCGGTTTTGAGTATATCCTGTTATTGACACACTCTTGATGTGGCCATTAAATGTTCAAAACTCAAGTGGACACGGCACGAGCGCAGCAAGTGTATTCACTGTTTTTTATTCAGGTTTTGAACATTTTATGATGTCAAGAGTGTGTCAAAAAGAGGACATAAAATAACATAAAAAGAAATGCCGTGTGCAATTTGCTTTTTACCACATTTCAAGTCAAAAAATGAGCAAAAATCATTCTTTCCTTTCAAGTGAACTAACAATTAGCATGGTAATCGAAGGGAACACTAAATTAACGTGCAAGTCGTAGAAGCATCTACGAACCTATCTTGTGAATGAAAAAAATGACCCTGCAATTTGAATACAAATAGGGGGAAATTTTCGAAAACTAATTGTGAAGACCAATAGACATCTGCAGAGGAGCTCTGAGACATCTGTCAATCCTCATTTCATGGTAATGACCTCATGGAAATGAGAACAGTCCGTGCATGACCAATAAGAGATAATTGTTATGAGAAACTTCACATGAAGCACTTCAAAGCGCATCTCGTACAATACAGACAGTGTTGGAAGAGCAAAATCCAGAGTAATGTCAAACTACGAGTGCAAGCAGTTTACAGATTGGTACGCTTTTAAGCAAGATATCTATATATATACTTGGACACTGGTGGCAGTTATGTGTCTTCTTGTTTTACCAGTAGTTGTAATAAACGCGTTCATTCTGACGGCCATTGTTCGTACACCAACTCTTCATACTCCTTCCAATATCTTGACTTGTCATTTTGCAGCAGCCAACTTGGGACTTGCCTTGATTGGCACTCCTTCAGGAGTAGCGTGGAGGTTGTTAGAATTATACCATCATGACTACGATGTAGTATGCACCATAACGTTTTTTGGTTACTCGATCTGTGGGTTATTCAATGGCGGAAGTGTCTTAACATTAGTATTTGCGACTTTGGATCGGTATCTTGCGTTGATTTTCCATTTACGCTATCCAGTGATTGTCACCAATGGAAGGACTATCTTTCTATGCATCATCTCTTGGCTGGCGTCTTTAATTGCAATTCTTCTCCTTTTAGTCGGAGGAAATACTTATTATATTGTTGTATCAATAATCATGGTGTTTTTGTTGGTCGTCATCGTTTATTGCTACTCTAAAATCTTCACTATCACACGACGTCATCATAATCAGATTGCAAACCAAGCAGGAAACGCCATGGCCGTCGTCAATCACTACAAACGCTATCGAAAGTCTGCGTTGAACCTCTTTTATGTTGTGTGTTGTCAGTTCGCTTTCTTAACGCCTTATTTGTTTAGTATTATCACTTTTGCTTTTCATGGTGTTTCGGTCGCAAGCTTACGATTCTGGAGCGTCAGCACATGTTTTTTATTTCTGAATTCCTTAGTTAACCCTTTGATTATTTACATGAGCTATGGGGAGCTGCGGGCTGCCATTAAGAACACTGCGAGGTCCTGCTGGATAAAATAAAGCGAACAAGTGCACTATAGACTAGTAGGACACTCGTATGATAGAATAATGTTTAATTGATCTGAGATAGTTGAACTGTCATTTTGTCCTAGATAAATTGACTTGAAAGGAACATTCAATCTCCTTGCTTGTATGCCACTTAAAAAGACACTTGTGATGGGATCAATACGATCTCAAAATACTTCATGAAAAACGATTAGGAGACTGTTGGCTTTTGCCTCTCTAGCAAAATGTGTCATATGACTAGTTGGTGCATGATGAAATGCTCGCTTTATAGTGAGTGGTGATGAGGAAGAGTGTGTCTGCTTCATGGATCGTGTGCGCGGACGTATATATACTTAACTTTCAGTATTTAACTATTCCAGTATTTTATTCAGTGTTTGATTTTTTGCTTCATTCATCTTTTTTAAATATTAAATATTAAAAAATATTAATTTGTGTCATTAATCCATTTGGGAAACTTGACCACCTATTTAATTAATCATTGGTATCACAAGGAAATGTTTCGCGGTGTCTTTTTTCCAAGAGTAAACTAACTATTCCGTCGCTTTCCGGGACATTAATGAAACCACTGAGGGAAGATTATTTCCGTAAGCGAGCCCTTCTCTTGATATAATAACTTTAAACTCCTAACAATGATGATAATAACATAGAAAACAATATAAAATAGTTAGCCCTTGAACTTGGGATAATCTTTCTCATATCAACAGCCCCTAAGTTGAATATTATCATGGCTACGAGTTATCGTTTTCAAGTATTGACAAATTTTTATTTTTAATTCATGACAACGTTTGAGCTCCAAGCTACTCCAAGTATTTTTCCAACATTYAACGACCGAAATTGAGATGCTAATTTCCCACAGTACAAGATTTTGAAGAAAAGGTTATGCATGCCGGAAAATTTGTCATATCCCTTTGTAAGCCTAATCTATTCAATGAATACAACTATTAGTACCTGCTTTCTTCTTTCTGAAGTTCTTTTACAATGAGTATTGTACTTCAATGTATCGCTTCTGGGGGCAATTTGCCCTCATAATTGTGTACATAAACTGTTTGGCATATTGGRCGAATTTCCTGCCATTACTGAGTTGTCTAGTGCCAGCCAATCAACAACGAGTATTTCACCTGCCATTACACACAGGTGCATGTAAGAAAGGTTTTTTTTCCAAAGATATATTTTTATGTTTCTGGTTTAAACTATAAGATAGTTTATGGTCAACGTTGGCTAAATCTAGTCTCCATTTCTATGCAAGGTGGATCCAATAACTGAAATTTTGTTTGTCATATCAGTATCACTGGAAAAAATCGCGCTCTTGAAGGTTGTAAATTAAGATGTAAAAAGATGTA